CTGCATAAGGTGGAAGGCAAGATTGAAGAGGCAGCTGAGCAATGCTCCTAATTTCATTTCCTGAGTTTGCATTTCCTCAGGGCGCTGAGCAATTTATGGACAAGATAACATCTTTTAAAAATGTAAGTGGATAAGACAAGACAGGAGTGAACAAGTGATCTGGGGAAATACGTCTCTGCCAAGGGCTTCCTTGGTAAATAATTGCCACAAAGCCAGGCTGATAACCATCAGGTCATTCTAGGTTTTGACTCCCTGGTTCACTTTGGCTCATTTGTGGATATGTTCAATTTTGTTATTAGAGGGTGGGATGTCTGGGTCAATGAAGAAGTAAATATGTGTGTGTGTGTGTGTGTGTATTTGGCTTTGTTCGGGTATTTTCCCACATCATTATAGTTGTGCTTTTAAAGTTGTAGCAACGTCATTATAGAATCTCATCTGCCATTATCAGGCTTCTGTATTGAGTTCGTCTGGACCAGTCTGACTCACAGACGAACACAACACAGAAGCCTGATGATGGCAGATGAGATTCTGCCGAAACGTTGATACAACTTTAAATGCACAACTATACTGACGTGGGAAAATACCCGAACAAAGCCGAATACCATACATGTAAGTACCCGCGAAAACTTAAGAAAACACACACACACACATATATATATATCTTAATTTAAAACAATATTCTGCTCAAATCTGTTTCTATATCAAGGTATTGTAGGAAGAAAGCTATGTCAAGTCTACAGACAAAATATCAGGAATCTAGTAAGTAGTGCTTTCTCCAAGCAACAAATGTTAAAAAGCAGAATCTTTCATTTTAATAAAAGGCTGAAATTTTCAGGAGCTGCAGCTCGTTTTAATAAAATTTTGTCACTCGGAAAAAGTACCATCCAGATTTTATCTTAAAGCGAGCTATTTACTTGAGGTTGAAGTGCCACGCTGCCTAAAAGGTTGGATTTTCAGGTGCAATTGCAAATACCCTACACAAGGAGATCAAAATTTTCGGCAGCCAGAAAAAAAGATTTGTAATTGTTAAATAGCTGCGATAGGCTCCATCATAACCTGACACTATTTTCAGGCATGCCAACGTAACAGTTTTGATACTACAGGTAGGCCTCAACTTATGACCGCAATGGAGCCTATAACTATGGAGTTATACCTCATAGTGGTCATAAAACAGGTCGGCCAAACGACCAGCTTGATTTTATAAACTTTTTGCAGCAGTCGTTAAGCAAACCACTGTGGTCATTAAGCGAACCCAAGGTTGTTAAGTGAACATCAAGGTTGTTAAGCAAACAAATGGTTTGCTATGGGTGTGGTTTTGCCCAAAACCGAAGTGCGTTACAACTGGCTATAAATGCAGCTGTGTTGCTAAGTGGACAAAATTCAGTCACGTGACTGCAGAGGGAGACCACCCTTCAGAACTTCAAATCCAGATCTTAAGTCCCTTTTTTTCAGATCCACATAATTTAGGAGGGTCACTAGGTGACCATTGTAAGCCTGTGCTTTTCTGTGCTTTTCCCTCCTAAACGGGCGTGTTTTTCTCTCAATGACTCTTCCTTCGACCGGATAGGAATCACGAATGAATTTAATTAAAGCATCGGTTAATCGACATCGCATCTCTTCTCTGTTCCCCTCAAATGAAGTCGCTACCCAAGGAACTTTTGGACCACAAAATACTGTTAGTCAAGACTTACAATGTCCGGTGACCGACCATCCCCGTCGCCAACCCTCAACGTTTCCCCGACATTTTTGGAAGAGCTAGAGCTGGGTGGATGAAGCCTTAACAATCGTCGGCAAGCACCACCACCCCCATCTCAAAGGGTTGGGTTACTCCAACAGAAGAGCAAAAGGGTTAAATAACCTTCCTCAAAAAGAGAGAGGGGACGGGGGAGGAAAAAAATACCCACCGTAGCAGGGGTCTCCAACCTTGGCCACTTTAAGACTTGTAGACTTCAACTCCCAGAATTCCTCCTCCAGTCACGTTAGTTCAAGCATTCTGGGAGTTGAAGTCCACAAGTCTTAAACTAGCCAAGTTTGAAGGCCCTTGTTTGAAGATCCAATGTTTCTCCACTTTGGCTACTTTTAAGACATGTGGACTTCAACTCCCAGAATTCCCCAGCAAGCATGCTGAGTTGAAGGTCCACAAGTCTTAAAGCGTCCAAGGTTGGAGACCCCTGCCACCATAGCGTATGCATTATCAAAACTCGGGCAGTTTACCCTATCAAAAAAGAAGAAGAAGAAGAAGAAGAAGCCATGATAAGCCCTTTGGGGAATCACCTGGTCTCAAAAGAATTATGCAGCCGCTTCCTGTGGGATTCGGAAGCAACAGGCTGTCTCCTTCCCTGCCTTTCAAATATCTCCGCTCCCCTTTCCACAATCACTTCCTGTGGCAGCGGGCTGAACAAGGGAGACTGACTCCCCCATCACCGCATCTCTATACAGAGACGGAATCTGTCCCACCCCACTTTTGCTTCCCCCTCCAAAAAATCCCTTTCTTTGGATTCGTGCACTTTTTACGCAAAGTGGAAAGTCTCGCCGCTTTGGCCCAATCAGACAAATTGACTGCCGATTGTGAGGCAAACGCTATTACAACCGGAACGGGTGGGTGGGTGGGTGGGTATGTGGGAGGTGGGGGGGTGGAAGGAAGATGCACGAGGCC